ACCCACTCATATGAATTCTCAGACTGTCCCAACATACCCAGGTTTTGACACCCTCTAAGGATCTCACTGATTAGCATATCAAAGACAGCCCAATCTGACACCTAGTGTAGTATCATAATCGAGTCTAGGGGTCAGGTGTAACATTCTAGTTTTGCCCATCTATCTCCAAGGTTCAGGGCAATACTGGAATTCTGGTCCAGTTCAGGGTTTCAGAAAAACCCACACTGCATGTGCCTCAGGTCTCACCCTAGTAGCTGAGACAAGCCACCCCAACCAACTTGGCGGCACATCAGTGTCAGCCTTGGCAGGATAAATTTCCCCAGATCTATCCAATGGCTGTGAAGATTCTAAACTAACACGAGTCTTATAAGTGTCCAGTTTAAGGGTATTATACAGAAACACACCATAATAACATGAATCAAATATGTACTTTATTCATTTACATTAAATGTCATATATACATCATTCTGATTAGAGCTATGGGCATACACTGTCTAACAATCTCTTGGGCTAAAATCTATAGAACTACTCCATGGACTTTCAAACAAGTGATAAGGGAAGTGGAAAAGATCGCAAGGGAGGTAGAGGCTGAATTTAAATGGGTTAGAAGGAGTGCAAATGGGCTAACTGATTATCTTGCCAAACAAGGAGCTTTGAGGCACCAATTGTTTTGGGCTGCAATGTAAAGAGGGACAGAAATATGTAATTCTAATTTCAAATAAAATTCTCCTTTGCTGATCAAAAAAAATGTTATGAAGTTGTTCGAGGTGTAGTAGTGTGGTGCCCAAAGTTTAAAGAACTCTTCTAGATTGGGAAATTGAAGAATGTGTTAATTTATTGGCTGAAGTCCAAGTGGCAGAATTAAATTTGGAGAGAACTGATTCAAGATGAAAGACAGCAATAAAGGAGTATTCATTGTGAAATCTTTCTACAAGGCATTTGCAAGGAATCAAGTTGAAAGGGGAGATGTTATAGGTGTTTGGGGCAATCCTATTCCCGCTAGGGTGGAAGGTTTTGCTTGGCTCGTGGCTTTGGAAAGCATTCTTACACAAGATCATATGAAAAATAGAGGCATTTAGTTGGTGAGAAGGTCTTATCTTTGTTTTCTTGAAGATAAGAGTGTGCTTCATCTTTGTTTTGGCTGCTATTATGCAAAGATTATTTGGGATTACTTTTTCTCGGTTTTTAAAATGGAAATGTGAAACCCAAGCTCATCTAGAGATATCTTTGCTTGCTAGTCAGCTTTAAATTGAAACAGAAAAGCAAAGATTATTTGGTGTTATGTACTTTATGAAGCCTGCTGGGAAATGTGGAAGCAAGGAAATAGAAGAAATATTTGAAGACAAGTATAGAACGCATGACTGTATAACCTCAACTATTGGCAATAGAATTATGTATGGGTACTGATTCTTCCAAAATTTGCTAGGGGCAGCAAGGAACCTTTTGGTTTTGGGGTTTGGAATGTAACTAATATTGTGTGTGTGTGTGGTGGGAGGGCCGGGGTTGATGATGTAATCTTGGTTCTGTTTTTCTCTTAGGTGATGTCCCATCACTCTTTGACTACCATTTGCACTCTTTTCTCTTTCTTTTATGAATAAATTTGTGGGTAAATTATGAATTACCACCCTGTACTTTCGGGTAGACACTTATCCCCCTGAACTTTCATTAGCAACAAAGACCCCCTTGAACTTTCAGATTCCAACACTTTGTCCCCACTGCGTTAACAAGATTGAAAAGGTAAATTTATTAAAATACCCTTCAATTTAATTTAAAAATGGCACTATTCATCGTCTTCTGCATTGGAACACTACAAACAAAGGAATAGAGGCAGTTGTCCAACTCCAAAGAAAACCTCAATGGCCCTGTAGCTGTGGTGGTGGTCATGGCTTTTTTTTTAATACAGGATGATGAGTTCTCTTATATCATTGTTTTATTCGTTCTCATCTCTTTTCTTTCCTTTGTATTACTTTGCTCTTTAAAAATCTCACAAACCTGTCTTTGGTTGAAGTTAAAACCCTAGTTTCGAAGATCAAGGACTTTCGGATCTGTTTTTGTGCACCTGTCTTAGATGGAAACATGGCCAATCTTGTTTTTGTTTACTTAATTTTTTTTACTAAGATCCTTGTATATTATTGGTATGAACCTCAATTTGTATAGATCTTATCAAGCGGTAAGGTTTTATCCCCATTGGTTTATGCTTAAATTTTAGTAGAAGTAACGGTGGTAACCCCTACATCAGGAGTGAAATTTGGGGTTAAAAATTAAAAAAATAAAAAAAAATGCAACTGCACATTTGCAGGAAGTACTGATGTACTTTTTTTATAACAAATATCGTTTCGGTATCGCATGAAGTGGTTCATATATATTCATTACCTTGATCTAAATCGTTTTTCTTGTGCATCTGCAGGAGGTACTTTTTCCTCATCACATTCAGGTCCTACCTTTACTGCACTTCTGCAAGCAGGATAGGATTCACAGCATGGATGGAGGCAAGGCCTGAACTAGGTCATCTCTGTCATAATCTGAGGATTGACAAATGACCTAAGGCATTCAGCAGAGCTTCATATACAGGGGGTGCGGTATAGAATAATTATATTTTTTTGTATCTTCTTTCCTTTTTTTATTTGTTGTAACTTGTAACATAGAATCTTCCAAAACTAGTTAGTTATACCCATCTATGTATACCAAACATGTACAGTGATCAATTTATTATCATTTTCCTAATTTGCCTCGTATTCAGTTGTTATTAAGGCTCTGTTTGGTTGCAATGCAATTTTATTTGCACTAGCACAAATGCATGGAAGTGCAAATAAAAATATGCAAATTCCCGTTTAATTTTGTTTTAGGTTTTACTTTATTGGGTCAAAGTACAAAAACCTTCCTTAAAGTTAAGTTTGGTTTGAAGGGAAAAGTGGGGAAAAGAAAGGAAAGGTAGGAAAACCCATACGAGGTTTGGCTGAGATTTCCCTAACTTTCTTTTCCTTTTCCTACTTTTTCCTTCCGACCAAACACAGCCTAAAGTTTTTAACAATCATAAAAACCTCCCCTATAGTTTGATTGTAACAAATACCTCTCCTGAACTATTGAGAAACTCAACAAAAACCTCCCTACCATCACTAACTCAGGCAGAAAACGTATGCATTTGTGAAATTACCCCTGTGCATCATTTAAAAAACCATAAAATACCATAAGTGCCCTTGTTAATTTTCTCAAACTTCGTTGCTTAAAAATCATAAAACGCCTCAATTCTTTGATACCAATCCAACATACCAAAATAATTTGTGTGACCAACCATGAGAAACCTAGTGTCGGTGCACTAGAACTCTAGGTTTCGTTCATCAATTTAGGTGGGTTCCTTTCCGGGGACTCAACTGCAGCCTTGGAAGCGTCGAGACTTGTGGGTGAGGCATGTAAGAAACATGGCTTCGGAGTGAAAGTTCAACTTAGTTGATTCTCATTGCTACATGGATTTGTTCTTTGACATGCCACTCCACGAAAAGCATTGGGCTCAGTGGAAGGCCGGCGAGAGCTATGGATATGCTGGTATCTTTACTGGCTACTTCTTCAAACTACCTTGGAAAGAGATCCTTTCCTTCAGCTATTCAGCCCACCAAAAGCCACACAAAATTGTGGAAGAATAGTTCCTCAACGTCCTTGGTGAATATTTCCTTTGTTTTTCCTTGAATATTTTGTCAAACTTCGTTACTTAATTAATTGTTTTAAGTGTTTTCTTGTTGTGTCTGTCCTCTATTTCGTTGGTTCGGTACACAGGAGGGTGTATCAGGAGTAATGTGAGGCTATGAGTTCTCTCTCTCGGTATCATGGATCTCTTAGGAATGAGCCTTGGAGTAGGTCTTACCCATTTCGGGGATTTTTTTGAAGGAAATGATTCGATAATGAGGCTTAACTACTATCCACAATGCCAGAAGCCAGAACCCACCCTTGGAACAGGGACCTCACTATGATCCAACCTCTTTAACCATCCTTCATCAAGACCACGTCAGTGACCTTCAAGTCTTCGTAGACAACAAATAGCATCCGTAAGTCCCAACCCTGAAGCTTTTGTTGTCAACGTCGGTAATATGCTCATTGTGCGATAAATAAGATCAATAGTTATATTTATGTGTAGGAATGGAATGAGTTATATTTTGTTGGATTAATTTCTTTTGTTTCAGGCTCTGTCCAAGGAAAGTACAAGAGTTGCTTGCATAGAGTCGTTGTTAACAACGTAAAACCAAGGAAATCTCTAACTTTCTTTCTCTGTCCAAGGGTAGATAAGGTGGTGAACCCGCCGAGAGGACTGGTGAATTCAGAATATCCAAAATGAAGATCAATAGTTGTCCAAGGGCAGATAAGGTGGTGAACCCGCCGAGAGGACTGGTGTACTTAGAACATCCAAAATGAAGATCAATAGTTGAAGTTAAGAGCATTCAAAATGAAAGGTAAAAATGGTATTTAAAAAAAATATATATCAGAGAACGTTTTTCTGTGTGGGTCAGTGATGGAAGGGAGGTTTTTGTCTAGTTTTTCAAAAATTCAGGGGAGGTATCTGTTACAATAAAACTATAGGGGAGGCTTTTATAATTGTCAGAAATTTTAGGGGAAGTTTTTGTATTTTATCTTACTTTATTCTGCTTCGTGTCTTAATTTACTTCATTTGTACTGCAATCAAACAAAATAAGCTAAAATTTGAAACAAAAGTAGATCAGAAATTATACTCAAACCATTTGCACTGCCATAGTTTTGCATCAGTACAAATTTATTTGCATTGCAACCAAACACTGTCTAACGAATAAATTTATAGGTTGTATATTTGAATAAAAAGTAAGAATTGATTTAAGTATTAATAATTTAACAATTGGCATTAAACATAACGAAATGATAAAACGGGATCCATGTAGCAACCCTATATAATTGGCATAACGCTTGGATGATGATGATGATGATGATATTTGAATAAAAAGTGTACAATATGGAACCAAGGTTCAAAATTTCAATGTATTGGCCAATACATATCATATTGGGGGCTTCCCGATATGTCCTTACAAGGGGTGTTTCGGGGTCTTGACCAGTTTAGGGGGTGGACAGACCTTTAAGCCAACCCCTCTGAACTAGATTTGAAAAAAAAAACTATAAAATAGAAAAAAAAAACTATAAATACTACCGATAAGTATAGGCATATCATTTTTTTTGGGAAAATTCCCAATCAATACCTTGTACTGTGGTTCAAGTGACAATTTGGTCCCCGAACTTTAAAATGTGACAATTCAATACCCAAACTTTCAAAATGTGACAATCCAGTACCTGAACTTTCAAAATGTGACAATCCAGTACCTACCGTTAACCAGTCCGTTAATCAGCCATTAAGTGACATTTGAAAAGTCAAAAATGCCCTTTGAATGCTATCTAATTCTCTTTATCAACTATCCAAATGTTGACAAAAAATTGAACAGTCCCAAATCTTAGCCTCTTCTATTCCAAAATGTTTGTGGCTTTAGAAGAATCTAGAATTTGGGACTGTTCATTTTATTGTCAATGTTTGGATGATTGATAAAGAGAATTAGATGACATTGTTAGGGAATTTTTGACTTTTCAAATGTCACTTAACGGCTGATTAACGGATTGTTTAACGGTAGGTACTAGATTGTCACATTTTGAAATTTTGGACACTGAATTGTCACATTTTAAAATTTGGGGACCAAATTGTCATCGAACCAAAGTACAGGGTATCAATATTTTAAACCTTGTATGGAACTGGGTGCCTTATAAAAATAATAGGTGTAGTGAGCCACTTCATGCACAATGATAAAATAATAAATGTCTTATTAAAATCCTACAAGAATCCATGCTTATCAATCAAATTACCCGCATTCTTTTGTGATTATGCATATTTGATTATTTTCCATGTAAATAAATATTTTAAGTGGCCAAACTCCCTTTATGTCTATTGTTCCACTAGTTTTAACTTTTAAATAAACCTTTTGTGCTATGCTAGTATTGCGATATGTAGCCTGGGCATTGTCTAAAAGGAAACGGTTTCTTATTTTTCATGTTATCATAGCATTTAAATATTGTTGACCATCAAAACCAATATTTTAAAATTTGACCCAGAACCGAAATCATTTTGGCTATTGGTTTTTTGGCCAATGGTTCGATTTCCGATTTGAATGGATGGCCCATTTTAACAAAAAAAAATTAAAATAAAAATGGCCAAAAACCGTTGAACAAGTCAACGGTTCAACTTCCCAGATTAATAGGTCATTGACCAATTCAACGGTTTTTAATCAGGGACCGGGTTCGAGATAAAATGGAACCGGTTGCCTAGACAATTTCCAGTCTGAACAATCTGACCGTCCAGGTCAAAATGGTTCAAAAACATTGATCTAAACCACCAAGAACATTACTTGAAATAGGGGTTTAGTTATTTCAATCCGGATCTCCTCACAAGAATCTTTACCCATATATACCCACAAGATACTACAGCTGTATATTGGGAACATCTCCCCATGAATAATAACATACATGCAAATAAGGAAGATGTTCTTAATGTGCAGATGTAATGTATTATGGGTAGGAGATGGAACAATAGTTATTTTAGTATTTCAATAACCTAATTTCTATTTTTCTTGTAAATGCAGTGACGAGTGAATTTCAATAAGCATGCCTTTGTTTTCGTTTTTTTCCTTTCCAACTAGTGGCATCAGATTTCTGATGCTGTGAAAATTTCACAACCTAAAACAATTCCAAATTCTTTTTCACTCTTTTAAGCAAGCATGGAAAATACTAATGTGAAAATTAACAATTGAGCAGTTTCTTAAATTACACTGCCAAGGAAAGTGGAGCAAAGCTCTGACGCCAATTTTCTGTAAACAAGTCTTGATCCCTAAGCCTAAACCCTTATTTCACCACCACAAGTTGTTAAAACATTAAAGATGGCGGAAATAGGTAATCCGATTTAAAGCCATCTTGCACTTGGGTTTTCCTAATGAAATTTTAATTTGAAATTTCTCCTCCTTAAACCATAAATATTTTACTTACATTCTTAACAAACTTAACTCCATTGAGATGCAATCTTTCCTCAAAGATAACGGTGTCCTTTCACTACAGTAGTTGAATGTCCACCCCCAACAAAATGGTGTGGTGGAACACAAATACAACCACCTCATGAGTAAGAGTGTCAATGGACCGGTTTTAGGTTGGACCCCGTCCAGTCCAAAATCAATTTGGATGGATTGAACCAATTCGGTCCAAAATATTTATTAGATTGGATTGGACCTGGTCCATTCATAACAAATTTAGATTGGATTGGATTGGATTAAGCTAATATCTGGTCCATTGATATAAGATAAGAATATATGTGTTAATGGATCGAGTTTGGGTTGAAATTAATCTAAACCAAAATGAATTTGAATAGATTGGATGGTCCAAACATTGAATTGGACCGATCCAAATTGATCAAAAATATTTATTCATTAGATTGAATTGGACCTGGTCCTTTTATAATGGACTCACATTGGACTGGATCGGATTGGACCAAATCCAGTCCAATTAATACTCCTACTCATGGCTTGTGCACTTCCATTCCAATAAAATCTTCCACTAATCTACGGGAATGTATACCCACCATTGCATTTGCATATCTAAAAAAACGCATTCCCACATCTTCTTACGTGGTCATAGCCCCCATGAAATTTTGTTTGGCAAATCGCCCTCCTACGACCATT